CGGATTTTGTCCCCGAAATCGTGCAAGGCATCGTAGACGTCGTTCTCCGCTCCGACGGGAAGTATGGCCCAGTCGACCCCATACAGTGGCCACAGATTTTCACGCCACGGTTCGGTTACCTATCCGCCGTCTTGAAACCTATCGCACCCCCACATCACTTGGCGCCGATGTTCACCCCCCCCTCCCAGACGGATTTCGTTCCCCTCACAGGCACCCCGGTTGCTGGGTTTGGGCATATCACCCCGTCATTCATTGCCCCCTTGCGCACGTTGGTCGAGGAGATGTCTCAGCGTATTGTGGACTTTGTTCGCAAGTGCGGTGGGGAGGAATGTGCCGATTTGCATTGGCACGGAGTCACCATGCGCAATGCGTTGTCGCGTCTGCGTCTCATGCCTGCCTCGTTCCCAGACCAGCTTCTACAAGTCACCGAGCTCCAGCGGCATTGGCTTATGGCCTCAGCGTATCTGGAGTACCAATGGAGATTGCGATCTGTTTCGTCCGCAGACGAAACGATATGCGCACATCTGCCTTTGATGGGCGCTTGGTCGTCCGAGCCTCAGCATGTCCAGCTTTTATACGGGGCAGGGATCCCAGTCTGGTATGTGCGCACTTCCCATATACTCCACCGCGAAATCTGCATTGCGAGGTCCACCACTCCCGTCGCCCCTAGCACCTTACAACTCGCGCGTTTTCCGGGCACCGATGGGTGTCTATTCCATGGCCTGGTCGGGGAGGCCCACCTCCACTCCATGATGCAAGGTGGGCATGGGTACCTCGACATCTCCCGTGTTCCCACAGCTTCCATATACTCGGGCGAAGACTATGGTCCAGGGATCACTATACGCGAGGCCAAAGCCGTCGGGCGCGCAGGGGGGTCCGCGTCCGGCTCACGCACTGCCCGGAGCTCGCAATCGCATGGAGAACACACTCTTTCCCAACGGAGCCTTCGCTCAAAACCCTGTAAGTGTAACTCATCCGCTCTGTATGTTTTGCTTTCTCAACGGCTCCGCTCAGACGACCGTAGAAGGGTTCCTGGACCCCACCCATCTCAGGTCCGTGGACGTGACAAGTTTGTGGAGTTCCCTCACAAGTGGATGCCGCCTGCCATCCCCAGCTGGTCTGAGGCCATGTTATCGGTCGACCGTTCTATGCCAGCCCGACCCGCGGATCAACTTTGGGGGTATTGGATTCCAGAACCCGCTCTGATTTTGGGGCCCAAGGACGAGGCGCGCCAGATCCGATATCTGACCAATTGGGTCCGTGCGCGACCTATTTGGTTGTACCTGCTGCGTGTCCCGGGATCTCGCCCCACTGGGGTCGGTGCCCAATACTGGCGGTCCTTCCTCAACGGTGTCCCGGAGGACTCCAGCTTGACCACTCGTACTGGAAAGCGCATGGTCGAGATCAAAAACCTTTTTGGGAGCGTGTTCCAAGACCACCAGTTCGATCTGGGAACGCGCGCACCGGTGGACTGGCATGGACATCATTTCGAGCACGTTCCAGAGGCTCTCGCGCCCGCAGTGATCTGGGAGATCTTCGAGTTGGGCTTCCGTTATGAGCTTTTGGCTTTGGACAGATTCCTGAGACCATCAATCTCCCGATCTCGTGCCGAGGAAGCGGTTCGAGAAGATCTACTCGCTACGGTGTTTCCGGGGGGTTGGTTGCGCGCGGTGGATGCGCTACCTTCCGGCAACTCTTCGGGCCTTTTCGCCACCCATCCGCACCGCAGAGTGACCGCCCTGAACGCGTTGCGGCTGGTCCTCATGCAGTGGCCTGGGTGTCCATCTGCCATTGTTTCCGCCTCCCCTCTCCAAGGCAATGATAGGGACGAAGTCATTGTGGATTTGGAGCGCGATCTCGCCAGTTTCTACGTCGATACGTTCTTCGCGTGTGCCGGTCGTGCACCTATCGTGCCTCACCTGTATCCCCTTTGAATGATTATATAATGCGTACTCGGCATCAACTTGCAACCGGCATCGTGACGCCGCCCGTATGATGTCTTCGGATGTTCTTTTTGCCACATTGCGCCATCAAGGTAGGTCACGACATTCGGTTTAGGTGAAGCGTCCCTCCTCCCACTGGTCTGGCTCACGTGCAGGGGCCTCCCTTCAATTGGTTGGCATGCCACTTGTTGTCCGATGTGTCTCCCCCCGTCTACGTGATTCTCGTCCTAGTATTCTTCATTTCCGCCTCGCCCACTGTTCTTGTTCCCAGCGTCGTCGATCCTCACTTATTTTCCACTTGGCCGCAATGCGA